TGTTATTTCTGTAAGAGAATCAAGAAACCCTGCATTGTTCCTTCCAATTTGAGAAAGTGATAGTTGTTAACTTAATGGAGCACATTACTGCATCTGAAAGGAGAACTATGAAAACATAATTTTGAAAATTTTACTTTTCAACCTTATATGCCTAGCTGGAATAACATGCATATGTCAGGATTACATTCAAAATTTAAGTAAATGAACTAATTATCATTGTATGTCAATAAACAAGGCATCAAAATGTAATCTCTAATTCAAATTTCTATATTTAAGTTTTAAATTCTAATTTCAAAAGAGAATATTAAAAAATATATTCTTATCTTCACATCTCTGTGTCACATGATGTTTCTACGTTATCCTTTATAGATTTTGTATATTTCATAATATGGCTTTCACAGTATCCAACCAATTTGAAGTGCAAACTGTACATTATTACAACTAAGAATATAAAAATTTAACCTCTTACTTTCTTCATTTGCTGAGATATCAATAAATTTGTCAAACCTACAATAAAAGCACCTTCTCCTTATTTGTTGGACATGTTTGTTACCAATAGCAAGTGCATTTTTTCTTCTATATCATACTTACAATTGTCTTTTTGAATTTGGTGGCAAAATTTTGGTGGAAAAATAGTGCTTGATGTGATGTGCAAGGTTGTTGTAATGAGATTTAACTAGGCATGAGAATTTTCTGGATTGGTGTGGAAATCTGCATTTGAGGGTCCAAGGGTGACTTTGAGATTTGTATAAATTCAAGAAAAAAATGCTAGGGAGGTATGGGGTATAGGCTGTATATTGTAGAATTGTCTTGTAGAAACTTTAGTTTATTGGGGTTGCTATTTTGGCAAGCACGCCTACTTCTGGAACTATTGTTGCTTTTAACTAATTGATTTATTTTCATTATCTATTCATATAAACCATGCCACTGAATATTTTAATACAATTAGTTCATGCAAGACATTTTGGGGGAGCATTTGCATTTGGGGGTCACTATGCCTTGATGTCCATGTACTGTGGATGATCATGCTTTTCATTATCATCATTCCAACTTCCCTTATTTGGACTCCAGTGTTTGGTGTTGCTTCTCGCTTATTAGGGCTCAGACCCTGATAATTCAATTACATTTCACCATATTCGTCTTACTCTGACCACCCTTCTAGGATCAGGGTTGGTGTGGCCGGACTCCTTCAATTTGTCCACTTTTGGGGGTCGATCCATGGTTCTCAAAGTTGTTTCAGTACATCTGGTCCTCTACTTCCATTCATCTTCCCCATTGTCTCATAATCCCATTTCCTTACTGTTCTGGTCTCACCCACCTCCTTTGCCCAGTATATGCCACATATTGTTCCATGGTTCCTGACCCTCTTTGTATCTCCAGTGAAATCCTCACCTCTCACTTGACCTTTTCCTCATTACCCTTCTGTTTATGTGTCAGTGTTTTCTTTCCTTTCTTCTGATGATTGTCTCCTTTTTCATGTTTTCTTCCCATCAGGTCTGTCATCTTACCATGTTTCTGGCTGCACATTTCCATCTTCCCTTGGGACATATTATCAGTGCTGTCACTGTCTGTCCATTCATTTTTAATTTTCTTTGCAGGGGCCTTTACCACATATATGGATCCCACTCTGTCGTAAGTGTTGCCTGACCAGGTATACTTAGTCTTAAATCTACACTTTACAATCTGTCAACATGAATGTGACGTTGAGACTCTTCCTACTGTAGATCTGATGTACCATTCCAGAGGCTGCCAGGTGTTAGTTGATTGACTCCTACAATGTGTTCTCTATGCTTTCAAAGTACAATGTCATAACACTTATCCAGATCATATTACACTGTTGAAATGGGGTGTTCTGCAGGACCGCTTGTAGGTATACCGTACGGTCTTTTGCTGAATGTGTATAATACCATTCATTTTAAGAATAGGATGGTGGCATTCTGTGGATATCAATGGCATGATGCCTTTCCTTCTGCAGACCTGATGTACAATTCTACATGCTGCCAGGTGTTGAATCTAGCACTCTGCCACATATGTGTGTGTATATATATATTGCAGTTTGCCTCTCTGGCTGAGACGACCTCCTTCCCACCATCCTCCATATGTCAGGATTCTTAGGGATTGGTGTTGTGTGGAGACGGTCCAGCCACGTAAGTCCTCACAGCTGTTTGGCTAGTACCCTCCGTCTACTGTGGACTGGACAATAAATTCCCAATGCTGCCAAGTTTTGAACTGGAGATGCAACCCCAAATTTGCAGCTCATCTTACCACCATCTGCTGAATGTTGGTTCCTGGTGGATCTGGTGTTGGTTGTAGCTGGAAGAGTCACATGACTTCCCACTTGTGTAAGACTGGATACCCTCTTCCTACTGCCAACTGCACGAAAAAATTCCCATTGCCATCAAGTTTTGGATCAGAAATGTACACCCACCTGGGCTGTGCCCCTTCCTACCATCTGCCAGATGTCAGTTCCCAGTAGAACAGGTATTGGTTATGTTGGAAGTGCACGTGTGCAGAGACAGGTTCTTATTACGGAAGTTCTTCTTCCCTGCTAGTCTGTTTTTGAGGTGACAAGTAAAGAACCTTCTTCCTTATGCAAATCTGATGTACAATTCCAGATACTGCCAGGTGTTTGTTGAGGTTGAACTACCATTTACGGTATGTTGAGCCCTAACCACTCTAAACCAGGAGGTCCCATTATTTCTGTATTTTTGGGGATTCCTCCAAGTTTCTGCCCTTTACATTTTGGCAACACATTACTAGGTGGTGAAAAGTATACCTGGCTCAGAAGTGGTGTGGTCTCCCACCGGTTTATTGTTTTTAATTCCTTATCACACCTCACGTTCTATCTTTGTGATTTTCTAAAGGGGAATTATCTTCTCACTGGCCCTCCACAAGTTGAGTGTGGGATTGTAGTTTTTTGTGAGAGGAGACAAGATATTGTATCGGAAATTAACATTTTCTTAAACTGAAAATGTATTTCTGATAGATACTTACCACCATTCACATTTCCCCACCTGTCCTCCCCACTTCTGGTGTTATTTGCTTTTATTAGTTATGCCAATCCCGAAGTGACTAACATGTGCATAATTAGAGGGAGCGCTAGTTACAAAAGGAGGTACTGTTGAACTCCTGTGAGAGGGGATAAGTATCTATCAGAAATACATATTCAGTTTAGGAAAATGTTAACTTTGAAAGGTTTATTAATTTTTGTTTGAACAGTGAATTTAGAGAAAAAATGAGTCATAGTGAGTTACATATTTGAGTGCAAATGTTTATATAGTTCACATCACGATATATGTCAGTGTACAATAATCTACTAATTTGTTCCCATTGTGATTTATAGCTTTTCATGGATAAATTAACTACTTCTATAGTACAAGTACAAGCTATAAAACCATAAAATTAAAAGAAAATGTAAAAAGCTTGAAAATTTTTGAAGATAATGAAATTGAAGGTGTGGCAACAAATGATATATTCAAAGAAGAATAAGAAGTGGTATTATCCATTTAATGTCACAATTATAAATTTTTCACTTTACATTGATGGTTTTATTATAGTTAATTTTAGGGTACAGAAAATAAGTATAACGTTTCATCAAAAAGAACTCTTGATATTCATTTTGGAGATTTCAGAGGTTATAAAAATGAAACTAAGATGAAGTATTTATATTTATTTTAGGGAAATTACTTCTCACTTGTACTGATTCAGGGAAGGCTTCATAAATTCACAGACAAATATTTAGTAAAAATATTTTATTAAAAGGTTTGATTTTTTGTGCACAACAGACTTGTAATTTTACTAAAAGTTTGCCAAATTTTGTGTAGATCCATATAGTAAACTCAGAATTCCTATAATCTGTATAGTTTCAACATTCTGTTGGCTCAGTCCATTTGGACCAAGCCATAGTACATTCCCATATTATAATACTACTGTTAAGTTTATCATGTTCAAACAACACAAATAAATAAAATAATGCACAATTTATTCAAAAGAAACTATTTATTAGATATAAATTTATCTTCATCAAGATTATAGTTAGCAAACATGTTGTTACTACTCTAACCTGAAGCCATTTCAAAAGATCAGGTTCTAAGACGTAGATACACCTCTGTTAGTTTTGTGATGCTTTTGCAACTTATAATCAGAAGTGGTAACTACTGCAATCAGCATAATGAAGTATCAAAAGAAATATGTTAATGAATACAGGGGTAGGAATTTCATGTCTATAGATGGTTTTCCATCTTAATTTTTTTTCAAACAGGGAAAAATTTTATGGATGTTGCTTTGTCTACTCTGAGCAGATTGCTCTTTGCATTCTAGTACCTGATTGTCCCCTGACCAAAATAATTGTTTGCCTATCTGCCTGCAAATTTGTAATCCTTTTTCAGTCTTGCTGTATTCCATCCCTTGTAAATATGAGTAAGTTGAAACTTACTGGATATAGAAAATGGAATTTTCTGATCAACATAAGAAAAAATTTAATTCTTAAACAGAAAGAAGTATCTTAATATTTTTAGAAAATTTCAAAACATAAAAAACGACTGTTAAACTAAGTCAGTTTTTTTTTTCCAGAAACTAGAGACTATTTAGTAATTTTGTTCTAAGTTTCATGCAACATGTTTAAATACTTCAACAATTAAAAAATAAAGGAATGTCAGTGACATCCTTATGGTTCAGAATGGGTTAACACATTCCTTTAACTTAGAACAGTTATGTTTTTTTTTATTTTCTCTAAAGACTATATAATCAGCCTAATATTTAAGGAATGAATGTTGAGTCTAAACTCAATATAAAAATTAAAACCAAATGGAGTATTAAGAGCTTTATTACAAGATTTAATTCTAACCTGTTTGTTTAAAGTTTATATGCATTTTTAATATATTCTTACTCAAAAGTTTGTGTGTTTGTTTAATGCATGTAGTTTATTTGATAATGACAAACATAGAAATTTTGCAGAATTATTTTAGCTTACTTGGTTAAACAAATTTGTTTATTCTCAGGAAAGTTAGCCAGTCACTTAAGTGAGGCTCTTGAGGGATTTCACATGGCTTCAAAACCTGCCATAAGAAAGAAATATTTTCCACCACCAAGTTTACCTTCAGATTTCAAGCCTATGCATGTATATACTAAGAAGACTGAAGCTTCATCTTTGAGCACCAGACGTTTTAACAGACATGCACTTACAGCCAATGACAGGGGAATGATTCTTGGAGAAAAACACTTACTTGATACAGGTAAATTCACTATTTATATATAAAAAAAAATTATTATAATCCATACCATTTTTACACTGGGTTTTACCATGTAGTTATTTACTGGAATCAATAATCAAAATATTGGCTTTAACATGAAATGCTAGGAAGATTTAAAATACCTTAACTTGGTGTCTTAAGAATGGATGTTCATAGTGATTGTCTTAACAAGAATGCCAGTTATTTTACTGTAATAGTCCAGTCAGTTTATTTGTTTTAGGTATAACCTATAACAAATTGGAATAGAATATGAACTTAGTACATTGTGTCCAATTAAAAGTCTTAAGATGGTTCAAGTAATGGAACATACCAATTTTTGGGGAGAAAGTTGGATTTTTGATGAAAAATCATGGAAAATTAGAAATTCACTGTAACTTTTGCTATATATCTGTTCACATTTGAGTAAAATAAATTTAATAGTATTTTTAATAATATGTTGTATAACATTTTAATAATTGTATTTGTTCTTGGCTGAAAACTTTTTTTTTAGAAAACTACAAAAAAGTGGATATTTGCCATTTATTTCCAGTTTGTGATTCGATTTGAGAGCAATATACATCTTTGTGTTTGCTTTTACCATGCTTGTTACATGTAAAGATATTTAACATTTCAATTTATGGTCAGTGTCAGTACCTAAAAAGTGAATACAGTTAATGGGGAGGAACTAATTGATTAGACTACATTCACAACCAATAACAGTTATCTTGCAACTGATAAAAATACCACTTACATTTAGTGGCAAATGTTTAAATATTACAAACTTGTTTTATTAGAAATGGAGATATATTTCTTTTTAGTGTTTATACAACAATTTGGGGTTTTAAAAAATCTCTTCCTTGGTTTGCCAAATTTTGAAATTCAATATTTTGGAATAGTATAGTGTGAATAGAGTTGCAAGTCATAATCACATGTCAAAAGACTACAAACATTGCCAGCAAGTGTGTACTAAACCCCAAAATATAATATAACTGTTTTGCACAAAAGGTCTAGTGATGCTGAAAGTGAATGTAGACAAAATAGTTCTGAGACAGTACTACTTTTGCTTCCCCATAGCTATCTCAACCTTCATTTGCCCTTTAGGCATTAGTAAAGTTTTTAAAAATGCACCAGTGTTTTATAGCACTATATTTTTTGCATCATTGCAGCAACATGTGCTGATCATGTGACCACCCTCCACCAATCCAATTGAACTCTCTATACTTGTGCAGGTAGCTCCCAGTACCCTTGCAGCACAATCATTACTTTCTTGATTGGCATTTTCATGTATTTTGTGTTTTGTGTTCTCCATGTCACTGCACAATTTTTGATTTTGCGTGATCACCAATTAATATCAGTTTCAAGTTCAAGTCTCTGCTCTTTTGTTTTTGAGATGTTTCAGTTTCTCGAATTCTACTTTGTTGATATGAATTTGGGTTTCTTATGGCAGTAGATAATTTTCCTAGTTATAACACCAGGCCTAAGTCTCAGGTTTCATGATGTTTGCTAAGAAAGCACAGACTTTTGTTCTTTTTCCCAGGAGATCTGTGGTAAGTTTTTTCAATATGTATTTCTCACTCGCCGTAGATATACCCATGTTCAATGAGTTTATGTGAGCTTGTGTGTGTGTATGGATCTAATTTCTGCACTCAATAATTTACATCATTCATGTTGTGTAAGTTTTTTTACCATCTAGGTTACTTTAGTTTACAACTTACATTTAGAATTTGTTTCTTGCATTAATTTGGTTTAATATTTTACAATTTTTCACTAATGTTATTTAGTTACAAGCTCCTTTTTTAATATCTTTACTACTAGTCACATCTAATTGGGGATAAGTTTTGAGTCAATCTTTGTTTTTGTTAATTTGGTTCTTTTTTATTATCATGTTCTTTAGGGTAAGTTTTCTTTTTGTGTTCTTTGTCTTATAGTTTCTTTGACTCAACTTATACATTCTATATTTAAGTGTCATTTATCTTATCAGTCTCTTTAGTGGTTTTGTACTTTAGGTGTTACTTAATGTTTTATGTTTCAGGTTGATTTTCTTAGTTTTGCAGGTGTGTTACTTTTAAGCTTTTCGTAGACTATACATTCCTAACTTTTTGTTAGTTCAATAATTCTGTGTAATTTCTTCAATTTTATTAGTTTATGTGTCTATTTGGTTACACTTCACAACTGTTCTCTATGAAGGTTTCTGACTTCCGTTTTGCTCCCACACTACTTACTTTGCAAATCTCCTCCCTTCCTCTTTGGGATCGTACCTTGTCCAATCGTCTTATTCAGTCTGTTCATGTCCTACTACACAGTGGAGCTATCTAATGTGTGGAGCCCACCCAACCAGGAGTTTACTCCTGTCCTTCTTTGTCTCCCTATACACAAGTTTAAAGTTTTATGCTCTAGTATCGTGTTATTTTCTTCAATTCCTCTAGGCACTCACAGACTGTCTTTATTCAGTTCTGTATGTGTTTTGTGTAGCAGTATGCTCTTTTACACATCATCTTCACTCATTTGAGTCTTCAGATTTACATTTCATGGAAGACAGGCTTCTGCTTGCCTCTTCCTGTGTCCGGTCAGTCACTAACACCTACTTCCTTCTTCGAGAAGCTTCACAAGTGGGTTTCTTTTCTGTTTGGAGAAGTCCTTTGCTACCCCCTCAGTATCTTATTCATTTGAGGTTCACTTCCTTTTCTTGGTCAAGCCCAGCCTTCTCCACATTAGCTCCAAGATATTGATCAGACAGTCACATTTGACATCCCTTCTCCTTCTCTCTATATCCATTTATTTCATTGGATACTTCTTGACAAGTGACACTTCCTTCACAATTCCTTGGACCATCCCATTTTCCTCGATTCCCCTGAGTTTTGGGGTACTCTCCATATCCACATCCTAGTACCTTGGCAGTTCATTGGGAGAATGGTTTGTTTTTCTGAAATTCCACTATTGGCAGCTTTATCACCTAGAAAGGTGGAACCACGGACTGATCTCTCACTGGTCAGACTCTGGATTTCATGTACTGGGCCAAGAACCTTTGATATTCTGGTGAGTCATGTTCCCCGAGTTCTGGTTCTTGTGGCTGATTGCTTATTATGTACCTACCAGGTTCTCCACAGAGTGATCTCTTTTTAATCATGTTTTTCTGTGGGTTTGTTCTCAACTGGGAACACTGCATATTGGTATGTGTTTTCCAGTCACTGGTATGCCACACTTTCTTCCTTTTAGTCTTCAGTTCCTCACCCTTCAGGTGTGGAGATAGATGCTTTCAGTCAAGATTAGAGGGGTCTTCACCTATATGCCTACCCTTCGAATTGACTCATCTTCCGGGTCTTTTCCCTTATCTAGACCAAACCTTGTGCTCCACTAGTTCTTTTGTATTGGCCACTCAGATGTGGCTCCCTCTGCTCTGGCCCTTACACCTTATCCTTTTCTCTGTCCTGTCCCTAGTCATCCACAGTCTGATGTTTTTTCATCCAGATGTTTCCACACTCCTTCTTTCATAGCAACTTTTGCCTGATAAGTTGTCTCGTCTCAGGGGCTAGCCCCTATATGCCCACCCTCCATTCAGACTCCTCCTTTTCTGGGTCTTTTCCTTTATCTAGACCCCTCCTTCTTGAGTTCTGTTGGTTGATTCGGGCTGGCTGACTCCAACATAGTTCCCTCTACTCTGGCCCTTCATGGAACAACAGACCCTGCCCCATTCTCTGTCCTGTTCACTCTTCTGTCCACTGCAATTGGTTGTTTTTCATCCCAATATCACCAAATTCTATCTTTCTGTGTGTCTTTTGTCCAGCCCCATGCCTCAGTTCAGGGACTCGCTCCTCGTGTCGCATCTTTCATTGCTTACACCTTGTGCACTTCCTCTTTGTCTATGTACCAGAGGCATAAGTCTTGCTTCAGTCTTTGGTCTTCTTCCCAGGGTTTCCATCCCTCCTGTACTTCTGTTCCTCACCTATCCCAACTCTTCATATGGTTGTTGTCCAGGGTTTGTCTGTTTCAACTGTTGATCTTTATAGAGCTTGTCTGTCAAACTCCTTCTTTTATTCATCTTCCAGAAAGTTTTTCTTCCCCAGGCTGTTCCATTTCTTTCATCTGGTCCATATGACACGTTTCTTTTGTTCTGCTGGATTGGGATCTCCATGTTATTCTTCTTATCTTGTCCAGTTCTCTATTTAAACCCATTACAATTTCTTCCTTGTAAAATATTTCTCTTACGACCTCAATCCTCCCCCCTCCTGGCATGTGGTTTTTGTTGTTCCGATTTATATATCATCCTTTACCATTTCTCAATGTTTTTCATTATCTGGATCCATCCCACTTACTTTCGATCTTGCCCTAAGTGGGTGGAGGAAAAAGAGGTACAGCAGTTAAGGACTGTAAACAAAATTTTTTATCCAGAAGCTCAGAAGTTGTTACCTGCTCCATCTTAGACATATGGTACTACACTACATTTCACTGCTACAGTAGGCATGCAGACAGATTTTTCCATGCCTCCAACATAGTTTTTCTCTTATCATATCATGCAGAGAGTGTATAGCCCTCTGTGGTTGGAAGTTGACAGGTCCATGTCTATGCCTGTCTCTGTCCCCACCATTGCTTCCAGTGACTGTAGAGTCCCTCTTTTTTGGCCTCAAGGCACAGGACCATTATTCAGTCATACCCTCAGTCATTGGAGTCTCCTTCTTCAGACAGAGTTCTGCCCAATCGACCCTGGGCAGGTTCCATGAAGGTCAAAAGACCTCTTTCTTCAAAGGAAAAATGTCGTGGAAGCTAACAGAAATGTTATCTGCCTAGTTTTTTTTCTACTGATTGTTTTTTTTGTATGACTGTCCTAACTCAAAAAGTAAATCAAGTGATAAACACAAAATGTAGGGCTTACATTGTATGCCAAATACCACTCAGAAATTATAGGTTGCAAAGCCCAATGTAACTAAGTTTACACACTCTTAACTACCACCTTAAGTTGTGCAAACTGTGGATGTATTAGGTATTATATCTATTCACTCCAACTG